TGGTTACATATGAAAAGGGATACGTAATCAAGATTGTCTACTAAAATTATATTAAACTAGCAGCCCCCCGTCTCGGCTTCGCCCGAGACTTACTAAATAAAACACCATAGTGTGTTGACATGTAATGTAAAACATTTTCAGTTAGAAATTTTACACATATTCCTGATACATCTCAGAACAAAAATCTTCTTATTAAAAACATATTTTTTCGGAATCCATATAGTTTATTTGGTCAAATAATAAGGTGTAAAAATTCAAAAAAATAATTATGCTGAAAAGTACCGTGCGTTCTTTATGCCATAAAATAATCGGTGGCCATAAGAAGCCGTTGATTTACAGTTTCTCCCGTGTAATTCACGAAAACGGCTATTTTTTAAAGCTGTTAAGATTTTAAACCCCCAAAAAATTTATATTAAAAAAAAATTTTTTTTCTCATATCTCACAACTTTATTACCAGAGCAACAAAGTCCTGGACCTTAAACCCTACATTTTTATTGCCACAAAAACACAAATACATTTTCTACTCATTAAAAAATCTGAAGTAGGATCTTTAAAGATTTCAGAGATTGCTGTGAGGGTACAATGAAAAGCTGATCTCTCACGTAATGGACTCTTTAGTTGTCGATTTTGACGCTGCTGTTTCAATCTCGATAAATTTTCTGCGTCAGTTTCTTGACGCCTAAGTAAAATTGTATTTATTAGATACACTTGAAGTTTTTCTTCCAATTCACCCTCTTGCGACTTTTGGCATGCTTAAAATTTTTGTGACCCCTAAAGGCTGTTTTCTGTCAACTTTGTTAAGTTCTAATATATTTGTTGGCAAGGTAGTTCGACGTCCGATGGCCCTAAAAAAGACCGGTGAGCTTCTTAAGTTAACTCTTTCTTGACTGCAGTTAACAGCAATTGTGACTGCCTGGATACCTCAGGGTGATCTTCTCTGGCTTGCTGTTGAAGACCCAGACTGATTGGGAGAAAAATTACAAAGTCCGAAGCTTTGGGGCTAGTTGTAGTGCTCTTTCCCAACGTCTCCCGGTATAACGTCGAAGACGTTGGTGTCTAAAGCACCTTTTTTATTTGCAGATTCAGTTGTTTTGGTGATCTTAGATGGGGAGATTGGTTAGTGATACTTGTCCAGTGGAGGCTGTCCCGTTGGCTCAAGTTTTTTTTCCTTCATAGCTGTTATAGGTTTGCCCAACGCAGACCTTGGAGAGGATCAGTGATTCCTGGTTGAATGCTTAGAGTCGAGAGGGTAGTATAGGGTCGTTGGTCACCGGGTTTTCCAGCCTTGCGAAGAACAACTCCGCAGGTGACGTCTGCCAGTGAATGGCTGACTTGGTTTAATAGTGCCCGTCTTTAGTTAATTTAGTCTTTTAGTCGACGAATCGCTTCCGGAAATGTTAATAAAAATGTATTTGTTGGCAAGGTAGTTTACACTTAGGTGGCCCCTAAAAAGAACCGATGAAATTGATGGTTAAGTAGGGAACGTAAATACTTATAATGGCCCTAAAAAGCGCCAGTGGTGAAACTTCCAGGCTATTCTTATTCCTGATGATGAAGAGCTGGCTACGGTTGCTTGATTCTTACCCTGGGAGTCTCTATGTACGGAGACTGTGATGAAGGGAGATACGCCGCTGACCAAAGAATATCTCGTCTTCGGGTCGTTCCCCGGATAACCAACCGCTCAGCGTTAGACCCGAACATGTGGGTAACCGCGTTGGGGACACGACGACTAATAAGGTAGCCGTTGTGGCTGCCCGTTCCCCTCAGAGCTGTTTTCCCTGGCTTATATTTGTAGCCAAAAATCCTCTGACTGCACCAGGCGAGATGGTGGGAGGTGGGACTGCCACACTACTCTGAAGAGTTGGTACAGATCGTGCTCTGGCTAGATATATCTCCTGGTATTATGCCAGAAGCGTCATCGGTTAGAATGACTTTTTTTTTATCGCACACATCGAGATTCAGGGTGATTGGAGACCTATAGGGGTCTGATTGGGGCATTCGATATCTCGCAAAAGTAAGCAGTTTTGTCGATTATCGGCGATAATTCCTAAACTACGCATACGCATTATCGTCATTTTTGGTTATTTTATAGGGATTATCGAAAAAACTGCTTACTTAAGCGAGATATCGAATGCTCCGATCAGACCCTAGGTCCCTTCCCCCTTAGAGAAGAGTGTCGTGCGTAACCGGAATATCCAGCTGCAAGACTGTCATCTACATTGTCTATGTAGCTCGGTGAACTGTCGAAATACGAATGAATCAGGTATCTAGACGCTCCGGCGTACTATAATCACACTTATTTAATTCTGTTGCAGGTAGCCTCGATTTTATGTCGACGCCACCTAGCAGATTTTACTGAACTTAAGTGAAAAGCTGGCGTATTTTTGCAAAAGTTTGAGCTCATTTGTTGCTATTGTTATTGAATTTTTTAAGATAGAAACTACACTACAACCATCTAGGAAGTATCATGAATTAGTGTGCAAAATTTCAACAAAATCGGTTCAGTAGTTTTTGCGGTTAGCGATTACAACGGTTTTAGCGACTTTGCTTTATATATTAGTAAGATAAGATCATAAGTCTGGGTGACGTTAGTGACCTGGTCTCCTTATGTTTCATGCATTTATTTAGAAAACTTTAAATGAAAGTTATATTTTTCGTGCAGTAAACAAATAATAAAAAAATATATTTAATGAGTAGAGAACAGTGGCTAGTAGAATCCATTAGTCTCCACTCTCTCATTCACTATAAAAATCAGATTGCTTACCATCTTTATTATTAAGCTGTTTAAAAAGCAAAAAAACTTATTAAAATTAAATGTAGGTGTTAAAACACAATCGACCGTCATTTGCGACTTGTACGTCATATTCTGTTAATGACATCAAAGTACAAAAAAAAAAACAAGTATTAGATTTAATACTTGCACTGACGAACGCACCGTCATCTCTTGATTATTGATTTACGCATATCTTTGTGTAACTTATACATACTTTTTTAACGGTGGGAAATTTATCAGTCTTTTGTATCTTTATTAAATACTAGATTATACGATTAGGAATGAAATTTGCCGATAATTTTTTTTCAAGACTATGGTAAATAAAAAGGTAAGGTATGAGGCTAAAAAATACGAAAACTATTTTCATAATTTTCTTCTATAATACCCTTATACACGTGGCTATTTGAAATAATGTAGTTAAAATAAATATTATAAATAATGTAGTTCACTCCACAAAAATCCTTAACCTTTTTTGAAAGTCATAAGTAAACTACATATACAAGGTAAAATATAGCCATATAGTTTAATGGGATTGGCCTGAACAAATATGTAACTACATCAACAATTTTATAATCAAAACTTTGTATGACAATTTTATTTTTATTTTCATTCAATAAGATTTATAAAGCTTTAGAAATTTACGAAGTTCACACGGCTACCATAATAATTTAACTATTACTATTCAACGATGTTACACTTACTGGCTTGATTTTAAAGAGAAAACATGCACTATTTAGAAGTGCATTTTTACTTGTTATTAACAATTTTTGCTTACATGTGGAGGAAGCTTTATATTTGTCAAAAATCAAATTTTCTTCAACATGAGATAGATATTTTTTACTTTTTTTTTATGGTGCATACAACAAGAGTAAGTCATTAAAAAAAAAAATGGTTAAGTGTGGACAGAAGTTTGTGTGTGTAAGTAATCAGTAATTTTAGGGACCCTCTTATTGTTTCTATCTATGACTAAAATACGTAATTCTTTTATTGTTTTTGTAGCCAAAACAAAATTTACTCTAGTGGCCGTATTTTCCTTTTAGTAACTCATTTTATTTTTTTTATTTTTTGATACTTGTCCAGTGGAGGCTATCCCGTTGGCTCAAGTTTTTTTTCCTTCATAGCTGTTATAGGTTTGCCCAACGCAGACCTTGGAGAAGATCAGTGATTCCTGGTTGAATGCTTAGAGTCGGGAGGGTAATATAGGGTCGTCGGTCACCGGGTTTCCCAGCCTTGCGAAGAACAACTCCGCAGGTGACGTCTGCCAGTGAATGGCTGACTTGGTTTAATAGTGCATGTCTTTAGTTAATTTAGTCTTTTAGTCGACGAATCGCTTCCGGAAATGTTAATAAAAATGTATTTGTTGGCAAGGTAGTTTACACTTAGGTGGCCCCTAAAAAGAACCGATGAAATTGATGGTTAAGTAGGGAACGTAAATACTTATAATGGCCCTAAAAAGCGCCAGNATTTTTACATAAAAATAAACACTTGTGAGAAACTGCAATGACTTTTACTTACTTATTATCAAACGTGCAGACAGTTTACACTGTTGTTTTCAACGGAGTAGCCTATATATTGGTCACATCTCAACGTATCTATGTGTTACTTTTTTCTTATAAATTATAGCAATGTTTTACTGGAAATTTTTTAGTTATTGTAATTAAGGAAAGCTGTTGTTCATATAAGTAGATCTATGAAAATTGTATAATACATGAAGAATGATAACTGATGAATAAATACTTCATGAATGAGGAAAGAAACTTTTCTACCATCTTTCAATCTATGCTGCTCAACATACTAATCGTATCTACAGACTATTATAACTAATATTGATACGATTTTTAGTTTTGTTTTAATTTCTCGTAATTTTCTATAAGAATATCTTTAACAGATAGAGTACCGTATTACAATTGAAAGAACTTGAAACAGTTATAGATTAAACTTGTCTAATGTAACACAATCAAGTAGGAAGATAACGTGATCATACTGTCTGTTAGATACTTTCATTTAACTACAAAACATTTTTGTAAAATCGCAAGTATGAATCGAATGTTAATATTGATTAATTGTTAAAACACTAAATATATTCATTTTTTTTAAGTGAAGTAGTAATACTGCACATTGAAATCCACAAATTTTTTACGCCCAATACGTAAAGAAAAATCAAAACTGATCGTACAGCGATCATAATTACGCAACAACCATTGAAAGAGTTTCTAGTAAATGCGTGTTTTATGCTTTCTTTTATATCTTTTTATTGATTAACTTAGACAATCAAATTCACAAAAGCAATTGACACTTTACATTATAATTTATTAAAGACTTTTTTTTTCGTACCTGATGCAAGAAAGAGAACGAACTTCGGCTAATACAAGAGACACAATGCAAATAGGAATATCCAATAGGTGTGTTTAATTTACAAATCGGGTTGAACCCACATAATTGTATATCCATATCTATGATCCAACTAAAAATATAGATGTACACTTTGATAGCTGTGTAACAATGGAGTTAAACCCAGTTCTCAAATTGAACACAACTAATACTGTACTAACATGTGGTGTACTCATCTGTTAATCTTAAACTTCGTCTCAATATACGGTTTCGAGCTTTGATTCCCACAGGGAATGAAATAATTATACTTTTAACCACACAAACAAAAGCTTCTTTTAAGTCACGCGGATCAAGACCAGCAGCTAAATAACTGTGATCCATCCATACATTTGACAAAAATACTAAAAATATCCACATTGCTTTGTGCAAATATTCGAAACCAACGCTTCGTTCACATTTTTTTTTCTTTTTCACTTTAATCATAATTTTTCGTTCCTCGATTTTTCCTACTTCCTTTTCTTGCATTCTTTTGCTCTTACTTTCATTTTTAAAATTCACTTGCAATCCGACAAGCCTGGAATTCACAAAAACCTAGAGCTGAAGAAGGTGGTGATCATTGCTGCCAACAGAATGATTAACGAGTTTTTGGCAGCAGGCGCTGAGTTAGAAAGGTCAAGCTTTTGGTAAAGAGTGGCTGGCACGTCGAGGTAGACCTTGTCAAGTCCGATATTTTTGATCACCTTGGAAAGAAGGGTGGCATTTACCACATCTCCCTCTAACGACCAGATGGTTAGGGTGTGCATGGCGGTGTTGTTCAGCAGTCGCTTGAAGCCATCTTTGTCGTTAGCAGCGAAGATTGCACGCACGGGGTAAGTTATCGACTGGTTGGTGTTCTTTCGACTGGTTACCAGTTTCAACATTTCATTTATCTGCTCAGATGTGTAGTTAGCTGTCGTATTCGCCGAGAGATGTGTCACACTGCAAAAAAAAGTTCGTTAGTTAGTTTTTTCCATACATTAGTCTAATAGCATTTTTTTGTATTTATTTATGGAACTTGATTCTATACGTAGTCGAGGTTTTGAAACTGAATGTTTAGAGTTTGCGATAAACCGTATTTTGAAAGTCTGAAAAAAAATTTTTTCAAATTTTTTACGAAGACTCAGTTTTTCGGTGAATTCAGTTTCAATCTTTAGGACAAACTTGTACATTATTGTCGGTACTCAAATGTCCTCAGTATTGTTAAAGTAATTTTCTTTTATGGAAAATTTATAAGGAACATTTTACGAGAAAATTTGCCAGCAAAGAAATCTATGAGGAAAGTTTGGATAAAATTTTACATGTTTTAAGCAAAAATAACTTATACAATGTTAAAAATTTTCTATTTTGCAGTACTTTTTGCTACACTTCCTAAATTTTAGGATTACTAAAAAAATTACTTTGACCTAATAAAGCCTAAAAAACGTATTCAATAGTTCTGACTCTTCTTATTATAATTCGCTAGTTTTCTAGTGAATTTAAAGTCATCATTATGGTTATTTCAAAAGTGCGACTGTAGTAACAACAGACATTAAACATTTGAAGACAACATCCGTGAGCATTTTTCAGAGTATTGTTGAAAATTTTCCTGTCGTCACTACAACTAAAGCTGTACGTGTACTGAATCAGAATAAGTACTTAAGCCACACAAAGGAACTTCTGGGAGAAAGTTCTGAAAATCTTAATTTTAAAATCATTTTTATTGATCTCTGCTACAGTAAAGATATTAACAGTGAGTTGTCATACCACTTTATGCTGCTGAAAAGTCTCTCACTTCACGGCAAACGACCTAATTGTCTTATCGTTCTTGTGAATTACCATAATACTTCAAAGAAGAACATAATACAACTGTTCAATGATTTGTGGTCATTGAAATACTTGTTCGTCACTGTCGTAGAAATAGTTATCTCAAAGTACGAATACAACGGAAAAAAGCTATTAAAGCCTGGAAATAATAAGCGTCACATTCTGTTACACGAGTACGATCCTTTTCAAAATGTGTACTACAATCGACCGTATCTAACAAATGAGTCATTGTTTACTGAAAAGTTCAAAAGCTTATGTAACTATTCTTTAACTATTGTTGTTGGGGAACCAGAGTGGCATCTTACAGAATGGCAGGATCATGATCAACTTTGGGTTCAATACATTACCGAGGGTTTTAAGGGCATTCCTAAAATTATCAATGAGTCAAAATCATCGACTCGCAATTGTATGTTACTAGCATCAAATAAGGCTGATTTTTTCTTACAAACAAAATTAGTTATAGATTTGCAGAAAAACTGTGGGAGAGTGACTCACTCAATTAATCTAAGTCTGCTTCGTACTATTCTGGTCAAACACCGTAGGTTTAATAAGAATTTGGTTCCTCATGGTTTGTTGGTATTAACTATTGTAACTTTATTCTACGTTGCAGTTACTTTTTTTCTTAAAAAAATTTTATTGTCTTCAAATCAAGTGATACACGAAATTATTCAAACGCAAGTGATTCTACATAAGAAAAAACAAACCTTACGGTGTTTGAGATCTGTTTNGATAACGAAGGACAAAACATACATTAGACATAGGTGGACGATTTAATCCTTAGTGATAATTAATTGTTTGATTAGGAAATAAAGCATAGATGCGTTATTATGAAATCACATAAACTCTACGACCTCAAAAAGACTAAACTCCCTTTCACAACTTAAAAAAAAATTTTTAATAAGTATTCTTCAGTTAATTTATAAAGTAGAATCATAATTAATTATATATTGCTCAAAAAATTTAAAACGTGGAGCTCCAAGTATAATGTAACACATAATGAAATTTATAAGATGACTTTTTTTGTAGCCAACTTGGTCTAACTTCTTCATGAATATATAGGAGTATAATTATTACCGAATTATTGTTTGAAATGGTATTTAGTAAAGTAAATCCAAACTTTGCAAACTAAAAGATTAACTGAACATACTTGGTAGTCCAGCCAACCGACAAAACAGTCTTGGGTAGCTTGGCAGCTTCTGCGAGGAATGTAGCCGCGTCAAGTGGTGGAGCAGCATTCATTGGCCCTTTGAGGATGTCTCCGTTCAGCCACACTGGGATTTTATCTAGCTGTAAGGGATGAAAAAAAGTTTTAGCTAGATTTCATCGAGTAGTTAGTTGAGAGCTTCTTTCAATATTTTTTTATTGTAATGCATAACAAATAATAGTTCTGTAGGTGTTGTCACCCGCTCCTAATCTACAATATATTTTGATAACTTTTTGCAAACAAATTCAGAATACTGAATAAGGTCTTTGATAAAAAACTTTCAGACTACGCCCAAACTGTCCGTTTTACAATCTCTAAATCCAAACCTTTTGATGATGTAAAGAGTTAGATTTAAAGTGTACTAATATCTTCTTAAATCAAGAGTATTAGATCCCAAAGTTTTAAGTGACTTTTTTAGACAATTTAACAGAACTAGTAAATGTTTACGTGAATTTATATGAACTTACGTACAAGCCTCCATTAAAAGACTTAATAAAAAAAAAACAAATTTTGTACCATGTTCACTTTAGTAACTACCATGACGGAAGGTCTATAAAAAAATATTGACAAAATATACTAACGTCAGCTGTGGCCTGAAGGATTTTAATACTATGCTGCAAGGCTTCAATACTTTTAAAGTCAAGTTTTACGCCCTTCTTTTTGTTGGCCAGGACGTCTTTAAGAAACTGTTGTAAGCTCAGGTCACTTGTATTAGCTGGTGGATGTCCCATTATTGGAAGCGTGTTGTTGCTGTTACCCATGGTTCCCATGATTACATCGGCTTCAATCATGTGGGTCGAATCTTAAACAAGAATAACACAAATAACAAAACACATAAGTCATCTGTAGCATTGATCAACAATGGCTAAACATCAAGTGTGCACATCTGGTTATGCAGAAGGGGTTTTGCCCATTTTTTATAAGCTATGAAAAAGAGTTATGCACCATATGTCTGTTTTTCATGATCAAAGAGATGAGAAGTTATTTGATGAATAAGTAATTTGTAAAGTAATAACTTTTTTAATAAATATATTGACTGAGCTTTAAATTAATGTTTGACTACTATTCAGAAACAAATGAAATTCAATGGTGTGAATTAGACAATGGATTTGAGCATGTCAGTGACAAATGTTTGGAAATGCTATATTAAACGAATCGATAAATATAGTAGTATATCCCTGTGCACTGATAAAAAAGTGTTGGATTAGGCTCGAAGGATGACGCGGCAAGAACTTGTAATTCTTTTTCTTTTACATTTGTTCATCTCATAAATTTCATCAAAAAACCGCAATTTTTCTTTATCTTACCTAAAAAATACTTTACATGATTTTCTTTTTGTTTCAGTTTTGCATTTGTTATAAAATTTTTATCAAGTCTTATGAAGCAGTTTTTGACAGTGTACGTATCAGAGATTTTACGTATAGCCACATGGCCATTGAAATTTCGAACAAGCTACGATTTCCGAAGGTCTTAAGCTTTGAGAAGAGCTGAGTTGAATTTGTATGAAGAACCATGCTTTGTCTACATGGCATTTGTAAGAACGTTTTTGTGCGTAGGTGCAAGTATCGGCTTCCGCGTACGTGCACTCACGGCCAACGATGGTATTATAACTACGTTCATCGGCATTGCCATAGACATGTAGTTGAGCATCATGATTTGAGTTTATGGACATATATTCACAATTGATTTTTTTACGATTATTTATATTAGTGAAAAAAGAGAAATGGCCATTGAAATGAGAGTGATTTGTACAATTTTTTTTTTTTTTTTTTTTTTTTTATTCATGAAAAATGTTGGTAAAAAAGTAGAGGTTCTTCGCTACGTGATGAAAAGAATTTTTATTAATTGAAACTAAAAAGATAGTTTGAAATACATACTTGAGTTGAGAGCGTTCATCAGTGCAGTTTTGTTGTTAGTCCTGTGAGCCCAGCTTAGCATTGTTAAGTTGTTCTTAACTTCCGGAAAAAACTCTTGCACAGTAATTGACATGGTTGTATCTGTAACCAAACAAACATGAAATCGTTTAATTTTACTTTCATACCTTAAAAGGAAACAAATTAATTTATAATTTGTTGTAAGTTTTCCAGTATTAGCCGAAAAATTGTAGAATTATGAAATGATTCTTGATTGCACGCAACTAAAGTCTTCTAAAACGGTATTTGTTAAATTTACTATTAATTATTTCACGTTTTTATGTATACCTTCGTAAATTTGGAGTCACGCGCACATATCATATGTATACGAGATCAAACTTATCTTTATCAGATCCAACCCTTTTTTTTAATATGCTCTGTATTGTGTCTGGATGGCGTGAATTAGAGTAGGTTAACGCTCGAGTTTCACCAAAAGATAAATGTGTTCGTAGCAAGTTTCTTATGTATTTGAATACGTATGTACTATATACTTAGATAATCAAAGATTTTACTGGCACGTTGGTTCCGCATAAAGTTGGTTTGATAACGAAGGACAAAACATACATTAGACATAGGTGGACGATTTAATCCTTAGTGATAATTAATTGTTTGATTAGGAAATAAAGCATAGATCTTAATTTTTTACCATTGCCAAATTTGATGAACATTTTGAAAGCAATAATAAAAAAAAAGGAAGTTACAAAATTTATAACATGAGAGCAAGGTTCCTTCTTTTGTTTTAGGAAATTGTTGAATAGATCTAAAATATTCAGGACGTGACTTTTGAAAATCGTTAGTTTTGCTTGAAAAACAATATATCAAAATATTCTAACTGTATTTAACAGAAGGCGCCGTGAGTGCGTGAGCGTATCCTATAATACACAATCTACTGTTACACCAAATAATGTACTACTATCTAATGTTGTAGCCACTTCTACAAAAAATATAATCGACATGAAAAAAGTTAAAAAATCTGTCAGAGGACAGGGCAAACATTTTAAATATTTGTTGTGGATAGGGCCATGTTGTATGGCAATTGACGTTCACAAAGGAACTTTCTCCAATACAAGGTAACTTTGTATTGATTATCATCAGTTATCTTTGATATTAAGAAAACAGTTAATACCATAGATACCATAGTATTTTATTCTACAACATAGTGAGAAACATGACAACTTATGTTCGCATATAATAGTAGTAGTGTCTTAAACAGTAAATTTATATGAATGGCTTAATAAATAGTTACAGAATGTCCTCGAATGGTTTTTTGCGTGCAATCGAAATGCTTCAATTTATAAACAAAGAAGTTTGGTTACTTGTGACTGATTTTGACGTTACTATAACAATAACGGTTACGAAGTTACCTTACAACAATGATAACCAAAACAAAAACAACTGCTAAGAGACTAAGTGATCGTTAGAGTTGTGGTTTTCATTCTACAATTGTTCAAGTATTTGAACTCTATACGGTTTACAAATTAAGTCCCTTTGACTATGTATAACGTATTAGCACATAAATAGGTCAATAGAAATCACTGCGTAGGTGTTGTAGAAAAACTTTTTTTCTCGACCATATTCTTGATTGTCGTAGTCACCCCTTACATACCCCTTTTCTGAAAAAGTTAGCTCTTGACTGATCATTTGTGCTACTCTGTATCTATGTTCCGTGGTTGTAAAAGGGTAAGTCTCAGTAGTATAAAAATAAGGCAGATAGTAAACGTCGTAAATAATCATAAAACCAAAACAGGTAAGTTACTTGAACCGTAAACGCTAACTAAAATTATATGAATAAAAGTAGATTGATAATCGCATGGTGCATCTTATAATTACAATGTAGAAATGCTCGGGGCACAGTCAGTTGTTCTCGTGCTTCGTAATTTGTAGATTGTAAAGTTAAACTCATGGTAAAATTTTTTTACGATGCAACTTACTTGCATTATATATCTTTGAAGGTCGATATTCCTCATTAGAATGGACCACTGGGTTGACCGATACTAGTTGATGAACAAGCTTATTTTGAATACCTCTGTTTGTTGTCTTAAGAACTTGTGATTAGATGAGACCTAAGCTGTGAAGTGATGCATTGCTGGATGAACTGCATTTTTGCGTGCGCACGTGAACATATTTTTAAAATGGATCATATGCCTCATGAACAGCAGAAAAAATTTTTTTTCTAGCTTCCGTAAAAGAATTGTAAAGTCGCATACCTTATCAGCCTACGGAAAAGCTTAGAACTTTTTACGAGCTTTTTTCTCGTGTTTACGTGAGATGATTAAAATAGACCGAGGGCCAGCTTACTCTCACTCTTCCTGCAATAATTGAAGCAGGACTGCGTTGTAATACCAAAGATATTATACACGGAAATGTGACGCTGCGACACCATTTTAGAAAATTAATCTAATTAATTGGTTGCGTACTAGTGAAAAGTAATTTTTTAACTGTGTTTTACATAATTACTGTGACTGTTTTGATGGATTAAAACGGTTTTGTACGAATATTAATTTGCCTCGTGTCAGTATACCAGATGTCCTCAACAGTTAATTATGTAATGGCCGTACTCAGTCTATCTTTGTCACTAAATGTACTTTTGGACGTTCGTGTGAAACATGTGAATAAACAAAATTACTGATAAAATTAATATTTAGGGAAAAACTTTAATTTTATAAAATTCAACTTTCGTTTGTATGAACAAAAAAATCTTTGTTTGAAACGTTATGGTATGAAAGTACAGTATAATTTTTATTAATTGAAACTAAAAAGATAGTTTGAAATACATACTTGAGTTGAGAGCGTTCATCAGTGCAGTTTTGTTGTTAGTCCTGTGAGCCCAGCTTAGCATTGTTAAGTTGTTCTTAACTTCCGGAAAAAACTCTTGCACAGTAATTGACATGGTTGTATCTGTAACCAAACAAACATGAAATCGTTTAATTTTACTTTCATACCTTAAAAGGAAACAAATTAATTTATAATTTGTTGTAAGTTTTCCAGTATTAGCCGAAAAATTGTAGAATTATGAAATGATTCTTGATTGCACGCAACTAAAGTCTTCTAAAACGGTATTTGTTAAATTTACTATTAATTATTTCACGTTTTTATGTATACCTTCGTAAATTTGGAGTCACGCGCACATATCATATGTATACGAGATCAAACTTATCTTTATCAGATCCAACCCTTTTTTTTAATATGCTCTGTATTGTGTCTGGATGGCGTGAATTAGAGTAGGTTAACGCTCGAGTTTCACCAAAAGATAAATGTGTTCGTAGCAAGTTTCTTATGTATTTGAATACGTATGTACTATATACTTAGATAATCAAAGATTTTACTGGCACGTTGGTTCCGCATAAAGTTGGTTTGATAACGAAGGACAAAACATACATTAGACATAGGTGGACGATTTAATCCTTAGTGATAATTAATTGTTTGATTAGGAAATAAAGCATAGATCTTAATTTTTTACCATTGCCAAATTTGATGAACATTTTGAAAGCAATAATAAAAAAAAAGGAAGTTACAAAATTTATAACATGAGAGCAAGGTTCCTTCTTTTGTTTTAGGAAATTGTTGAATAGATCTAAAATATTCAGGACGTGACTTTTGAAAATCGTTAGTTTTGCTTGAAAAACAATATATCAAAATATTCTAACTGTATTTAACAGAAGGCGCCGTGAGTGCGTGAGCGTATCCTATAATACACAATCTACTGTTACACCAAATAATGTACTACTATCTAATGTTGTAGCCACTTCTACAAAAAATATAATCGACATGAAAAAAGTTAAAAAATCTGTCAGAGGACAGGGCAAACATTTTAAATATTTGTTGTGGATAGGGCCATGTTGTATGGCAATTGACGTTCACAAAGGAACTTTCTCCAATACAAGGTAACTTTGTATTGATTATCATCAGTTATCTTTGATATTAAGAAAACAGTTAATACCATAGATACCATAGTATTTTATTCTACAACATAGTGAGAAACATGACAACTTATGTTCGCATATAATAGTAGTAGTGTCTTAAACAGTAAATTTATATGAATGGCTTAATAAATAGTTACAGAATGTCCTCGAATGGTTTTTTGCGTGCAATCGAAATGCTTCAATTTATAAACAAAGAAGTTTGGTTACTTGTGACTGATTTTGACGTTACTATAACAATAACGGTTACGAAGTTACCTTACAACAATGATAACCAAAACAAAAACAACTGCTAAGAGACTAAGTGATCGTTAGAGTTGTGGTTTTCATTCTACAATTGTTCAAGTATTTGAACTCTATACGGTTTACAAATTAAGTCCCTTTGACTATGTATAACGTATTAGCACATAAATAGGTCAATAGAAATCACTGCGTAGGTGTTGTAGAAAAACTTTTTTTCTCGACCATATTCTTGATTGTCGTAGTCACCCCTTACATACCCCTTTTCTGAAAAAGTTAGCTCTTGACTGATCATTTGTGCTACTCTGTATCTATGTTCCGTGGTTGTAAAAGGGTAAGTCTCAGTAGTATAAAAATAAGGCAGATAGTAAACGTCGTAAATAATCATAAAACCAAAACAGGTAAGTTACTTGAACCGTAAACGCTAACTAAAATTATATGAATAAAAGTAGATTGATAATCGCATGGTGCATCTTATAATTACAATGTAGAAATGCTCGGGGCACAGTCAGTTGTTCTCGTGCTTCGTAATTTGTAGATTGTAAAGTTAAACTCATGGTAAAATTTTTTTACGATGCAACTTACTTGCATTATATATCTTTGAAGGTCGATATTCCTCATTAGAATGGACCACTGGGTTGACCGATACTAGTTGATGAACAAGCTTATTTTGAATACCTCTGTTTGTTGTCTTAAGAACTTGTGATTAGATGAGACCTAAGCTGTGAAGTGATGCATTGCTGGATGAACTGCATTTTTGCGTGCGCACGTGAACATATTTTTAAAATGGATCATATGCCTCATGAACAGCAGAAAAAATTTTTTTTCTAGCTTCCGTAAAAGAATTGTAAAGTCGCATACCTTATCAGCCTACGGAAAAGCTTAGAACTTTTTACGAGCTTTTTTCTCGTGTTTACGTGAGATGATTAAAATAGACCGAGGGCCAGCTTACTCTCACTCTTCCTGCAATAATTGAAGCAGGACTGCGTTGTAATACCAAAGATATTATACACGGAAATGTGACGCTGCGACACCATTTTAGAAAATTAATCTAATTAATTGGTTGCGTACTAGTGAAAAGTAATTTTTTAACTGTGTTTTACATAATTACTGTGACTGTTTTGATGGATTAAAACGGTTTTGTACGAATATTAATTTGCCTCGTGTCAGTATACCAGATGTCCTCAACAGTTAATTATGTAATGGCCGTACTCAGTCTATCTTTGTCACTAAATGTACTTTTGGACGTTCGTGTGAAACATGTGAATAAACAAAATTACTGATAAAATTAATATTTAGGGAAAAACTTTAATTTTATAAAATTCAACTTTCGTTTGTATGAACAAAAAAATCTTTGTTTGAAACGTTATGGTATGAAAGTACAGTATTAATATTTATTGGAAAAACAGCATCAAAGACCTTACATCTTGGACGGAAATCTGATTACTAGTCTTGACAGCCATAAGTTTCAAAAGTCTAGTAAATTCAATTTTTTTTTTTTTTTGTTGAATGACGTAGATGCTATTAAATACAGATTGAAATTATTTGTAATAGAAATATTGAGGTACGGAGGAAATGACTGCACTTAAATTTGTAAGCCATAATAAAATTGTTAAAATCACAAAATTTCCAGTGTGTCTGCACTAAATCATGATATACCGCAGTATTTCAACATAATGATAAAAATTTATTTGTTAAAAGATGAACTAGAATAATCAAGACAGTATACCCTTGTACTGTATGAAAATAGACGAACACAAATAAACATATACATAGAAAGACCTTGACGACCCAGCCTCAATAGATATGCAGCAGAAATATTTCAATTTATCGATCGCCCAGGAATTTCGTTGAAGACAAAGTGAAAAATAAGAGTCAAAGTGGTTACGGCTGGTAGTTGTTCAATGGGACCTTTCGGAGGCCGGCAATCGTAGATTCACGATAAGCCTGTATTTATGTACGTATGTATCAAATACGAGGGCAAGGAAAGTTTTTTATACTTAAACTTCTTATGCATACAGTAGCTGGACAAAACCTTGTTGACTCTACTTTCAGCAGATTTCCAGATAGTTGTATTTATAAATGTATGTAAATGTATAACATGTATAAATTGTGGTCCACATAGAGGGGGATCGAAAATCGTTGTAAAGACATAAACGTAATGATACAGGAAAAAATAAAAACTTAGTCGTCCCCTTTTCTGATTAATATTCACTTACAGTAAATGGCACATGTGCGTATGTTGTAAGTATGACTTTAATATTTTAACTAGCTATCATAACTTTACAGCTCCCAAGTCTGTCTAACCTGACTGCCTTCGTACATGATAATATACTTTCATAACATGGATAATGGCATTCTAATGTATCTCAAAAAGCGTGTGCGTCTAACTATTTTATAGAATAGCCGAAGGAGAGTAATAGAAAAATACTCTACATTTCTCTCGATTAGTTCAGCTGGTTCCTACACTTTTTAGGGTGGACGATAATTATCGATAAATGGTACGCTTTGGTATTATGCTTTTGGGTTAATTGTGTGTTTTTCATCTAAATTATAGTAAATTTTATGATTTAATGACTTATAGGTATTATTATGTGTAAGGAGGAGGTTGATAACATTTTTATTCTGTGTAAATGATTTTCATTCTTAAAGTTGTGAGCTAAAAAAATTAATATTAATATCGTAATCCAAACGCACTTTTCACTGCTTCAATAACAGGTAATGCAGAATAAAAGACTATCGCTTTATGATGCCAAATAACTTGATTTCCGCGAAAGAAGAAGGTACTGAATGACTTGACGATAAATTACGACAAAACTCACTCACTACCTCATGGTTACTGATTCACGCAATTAGATAACAATTTTGTTGTAGAAACAAATGATTGAAGAATTGTAGGTTATACAATTGTTGATTGATGTGTTTACGTATAATTTTTCACAAAGTAATTTAATAAGATTTTCACGCCCTTGTCATACAATGTTCTCCTTGATACTAAACTACTACAAGTTAGATATTTTAAGATTAGTCTACGGTCATCTAAATTCATACATTTATTATTGCTTGTAGGTTGGGATTCTTTCGAGCTTTAAAAAACATTTTAAACATCATTTAACACGAAAAAATTCTGTAATACTTAATTTTCGCATTTTAAAAAAAATTTTAAATCGGAGATCTATTTACGATAAACACTTTGGAATTTTTTTCGGGCCTAACTTACTGCCCAAGAAATTGTCTTTATACAATTACAAATAAGTTCTTTAAAAAGTATTAATTCTTAAATATTTAGATAATACGTTAAAAAATTATTTAAATTGATAATTTCTACAGTAAAGCAATCAATATTTCTGTACTTCATTATTTATTCTGAAACATTTCAAAGATTTTTCAGTAAGTTATTATTTGTTTGTAAAGAAAAGAAACAATTGAGATAACGAGTTTATAACTCTAATGTTTTTGTGACGTAATACTTAATGAATTTGACCAAACATTAATTTTATTTATTTTATTTTATTTGTTTGTGTTTAAATAAACGTTGAATTGAATGGACGAAGTATTTTTTCAGTGACAAGTTGCTATTTGCTATGAACTTACTTAAATAATTGTTATTTGACTCAGCAAATACATTGTAATACATAGTATAGTCGAATAATTTACATGCTATCAGTAAAATTCATAAATAATTTGTAATCTTGAAAAACTTCAGAATGATAAACTGCAAATTATTTTAGTTTAACT